GGAGGGGAACTGGAGAGTTTCTGCTTCTTCACCCCGCAGCAACCCGCCGCCATCTTGGAGCCGTCTCCCCCCACGCAGCGCTTCCGACCCATGGCGGGGGGGCCGGCCGAGCGGCTGGGGGACGTGCGGCGGCCCGCTCCGCCTCCTGCCGGGCCCGCTCCGCCTGCAACGGGGAGGGAGGCGGAGAGAAGGGGAAGAATGAATGGGGAGCGGGAGGGAGAAGAAGATGGAGACGGGGAGGGGGGAAGAGAGACAGAGAGAGCTGCGTTAGGGCGAGCGCTGAGCCGCTGCGGGGCGCCGCGGCAATCCTGGTCCCCGTCCCCTCCCGCTGGGCTGCCCCTCTGCCCACGAATGTTTCTTCTTCTGCGGGGAAACTGGAGCGACTCCACCCCCCGTGCTGAAGGAATAAAAATAACCCCCCGGAGCCGAGTTCGGCAGTAGAACGGCCCCCTGGTGCTCCCGCACGCACTGCTGAATAATGCAGGTGACCTCAGGTGCCTCTCGCTTGGCAGGGGATGCGTTCTGTGAGCGGCACGGAGTGCTGGGGAGCCCCTACGGAACGGGACGGCCGAAAGCCGCAGTCCTGTTCACCTCTGAATTTATTGGAATTACAGCCCTGGCATTGCTTTGCCTTCCGGGGGCGGTGGGCACAGGGCTGGCTTTACTCGGCACTGCGCGAAGGAGCTATAGTGCTTAAAAACCTAGGTGTACACTTAGGAAAAAAACAACAACCACAAAGCATCATCATCAGTGCTGTGCAGATGTCTCTGGCATGGGAGGTAGCAGCTGTTTAACACAGAATAGCAACGCTACAACGTGGAGGTAGGCAAGGGAGTGTATGTTAACTGTATAGCAAAATACTGCAGGTTTAGAGAGGCTGCAAGTCGCTATCCAGGCTCAAATACAGCCTACAGAAAGACTTCGTGGTTGCAAACTACTTAGAGATTCAGTTTTCTTTGTTTTGTTGGAAATGAGGAATTAGATGTTGTAAAACGGTCTTTTTTCTTTCTTTTTTCTTTTTCCTTTTCCCCTCTTTCAAGCAACTTTTTTTTTTTTTTTCTTTTTTTTTTTTTAGAAACAAAGGCAGTGTCTTCCCCTTGTGGGATTCATTAGCTTAAAACCAGTTAGCAGTGACACCTTCTGTTGCTTTTGGGAAAATAGTTTCTTCAGGTATTGAATTCTGGCTTTTTCTAAGTCTTTCAACTACGATCTTTAACACAACCATGTATAAAAATATCAATTGCAAAAGCTAATGATGTGGGTAGAATTATGAGTTGCTCACTGTACTGGGACAGAAAACAGTGAGGTTCGGAGTCAGTCTTGGAGCCAGGACTGACAGCCTGTGCAGTATCTGCAGCACCAACCGTGCACAGCTGTCTGGTTAAAGGCTGTACTGCAGTGCCCCTGAATGAAAGGGTAAATTGATTTTATTATTCATTGAAAACACTTTTTCCACTTCTGCAGATGTTCTTAGCGGTATTTGCCTGCACACTTACCAGTAGTTGTGCTCTTATTTTTGCAATGCAATACATACAAGTTTATCTTTTGCTGAGACAGAAGCAAATATGTGAACACAAATGTAGAAATTATTGTTTAGTGGAATCAGGGAGACACAACTCTTTTGTCAGTATCTCAAAGTAGAAAGAACTCTGTAGATTTACAAAACAATTTTCAGAGCTGAGTGGAATTATTCGGGTTATATATGGATAAGAATTTACTCTTTGAATTAGATGACTTTGGTTAACTGTGACGACTGTTTCATTGACCCTTTGCTTCACTTAATGCTCAAGTTCCTTTACTGGTCTTAAGATAAGGAACCTGAGTGCACTGAGTTCCTTCATTTACACAGTACTTTTGTATTCTGCTAACTTCAGCACGTTTTCTCCAGATGATTGATGGGCATCCTGTGCCCCATGTAAAGCCAAACGCACTGAGCGAATTCAGTACAAAAAATTCTTTTAGCAGTACAAGGGGTGTCTACTGTGGTAGTGCAATTACATCAGGGAAGATTAGGTGTGAGGTAGCTCTTCTTTCAGACTGGCTATTAGAACATGAGGTGAACAACAGAGATAAAGTCTGAGTGACTTTAGAATTGTCACCTGTTACAAGTAAGAGATTTCAATTATTTTTTAACTAAAAATCACATCCCATGATTCTTGTTAAGCACTTTTAAGGTCATGGTGATAAGAAAAGTAAAACTGCTTGCAAAAAGGTATTTCTCAGTGGTCCAAAGCTGCTCTGAAAGATCTCCATTAAATGACAAGAACAAAACAGACTGGCTTGTCCAACTGGTCTAGTTCCAAAGGTCCAACCCCTTTGGAATCCGTGATGAAACTGGCACTGACTATAGGGGGAGTCAGGTATTTTTCATATAGGCCAAAAGATGATCAGTGTTCTGAGTGTCTTGTAATGCAATTACAAACAAGAACAATGAGAACAAGGAAACAATGAGCCAAAATTGGGCTGCATTGTAAGCAGCAGTGATATAATCCTTGTCCTATTAGTATCAATTCTTTTAATAGGGACTGTGACAGGTGAGAGATTTAAAAGAGTCCTTAAAATAGCACATTTAGGCTGTGGTTCCACATGCATTTCTGCAGCAGTAGTAATGTTGATTTAAGTAGCTCTACCTCAGCTGATTGTTCTTTTTCCTGTCCCACCCATTCTTCTGTGTTCATGCAGGTGTTCGTGCAGATGTGAGGCAAGAGGATCAAGCTGACAAACAATTATTCTTTTCCCTTTATTGTCTTTCAGTTCTCCCATCTGGTTTATCAGAAGGCGACACAAAAATCTGTGCTGGTCTATTTTGGGGGGACTGTGCAAATCTGAGAGTTACGAGCTCCAGGCAACTTTTCAGTATTGTTGGAAAATGAGAAAGTGCAGCCTAACAGGGCACTGCACATAGTTAGGGGAAAACTGACAGAAATTATACTTCAGTGTTTGAATTTTAAATGCATGTGATAAAGAGCAGTGGAGGAAAGAGATGAATGAGAAAGGAGCCTTGATGCTTTAGTAGTTTATACTTAAGACTGTGGAAAAGTCAGAGTTAGGGATTGAAAGAAAGGGAAATGGAAAGTCCTCTTTTTCAAACATCTCATTTTCCATTTTCTTAGAACTAAAGGAAACATTATACCACCATTTTTTGGTTTTGTTTTTCTTTTCTTCTGTACAGTGCATACAGCCAGAACCTCTATGAAGTTGTTAGCTTTACTGTGGAGGGGAGAAGTCTCTACTTACATTCTCCAAAATTCAGAGGGTAAATTCTATCTTTGTATCTTTCCATCATAACAATCTTTTTTTGGATGGCTCTGCCATGAAACTGGAAGATTTACATGCTGAGAATTCCTTTGGTCTGAGGAGTTCCCACCCATTGTGGAGACTGTCTAGATGACTCTCCCCTTGCACTACAGCCTCCAAGGCATTATGGGTGTAGCTAGGAAAAAAGTGGTTTAGCCTGGTGTGCTTTTTTGCATTATCCCCAAGCTGGTTTATCACACTCTTGAGGCTCATGTGAGTTTTCTTCAGTGTATTCTGCTCGGACAGAATAGTTGCTGTTCTTTAGTAGGCTCACTGTGTCACAGCTGTGCCCATGACAAATTACATGCAGCTCTGTATCTAGGCCAGAAAGTGCTCACCAAATCCAATAAAGCTAACTTGCATGTCTGAGAACAGTAATTGTTCCTACCAGTTAGAGGCCATATCCTGCTATTGTTCCGTATATATTAAGGCCTTATTGAAGTCTCTTCTAAAAAATCTTGTACAAAAGCTCATTTCAGGATGTGATACCAGCCAGCAGACAAAAGGTCCTCGCATGTTGTGTTACTGGAATCCTGTTTCATATCTTGAGCTACGTCATAATTTCACCCTGCTCTGAATCCAGTCTGTGTTATTTTAAAATTAACATTGTTTTACAGACATTTTTCACTCTTATGCAAATATAGTTTGGTCCTTTTACACCATCTGTGCTTGCACTACAAAATTAGGCATAGGTTTGCAAAAAGATCTGAAATGATGTTTATTTATATATCTGGGACTGGACAATCCTCTACCTAGAGGTAAAAACATTATGTTTTAAAAGTGTCAGTGGAATCAGAAAAGTTATTTAATTAAAAAACTAAAGATCAAAGCACTTGAAATAAA